TTTGTATTTACATGTGAAATACTTCTGATCAAGCGGCTGGAATTTGTGGGCTCTTTTAATCCCGTAGGTGACTAATGGCCCCAGTATGGATACAGTTACCTGGGTGGAAACTTAATTCTATTGATGTCACTGATTTTGTTTCCTGCACCCCTATTATTGCCTTCACACAATGGTGTTTTGCCAGGCTGGTAACTGTTCCTATGGCAAAACCTTCCAGCCTAGACAAGTCCTAGAAGGTTAAAGTCATTTCAACGTTTCTTTCCAGGCGATTACACAAGGGACCTTGAGCTCCCTGCCAAATGCTACTTTTTTACAAAGTTGGCGTTGGGGGTGTGAGCCAAGTATTGCAAACCTCTGACGCAGATGAGTGCATGTTGGCAGTTATTGAATGACAGAAGAGAGATCAGCCAGGAAAGTTTCAAACTACATCAGTGTATAGCCTGACTTTGCTAATGCTTTCTACTTCCAACTCCTACTTTTATCCTAAGATCAGATAACGAGTAGCACTTTTTCCTTGTAACAATTCATTAATCAGAGAAATGATCCTTGCTAGTGTTTAGATGTTTTACTTAATTTGGTACTTCTGGCCTGCTGCCCCAATAGTGCCAAAATTATTATTTCTCACCCAGCAGGTGATAAATAACAACTTCAGTCATGATTAATACCATGAATTTCTCAACCTGACTAATGCAAAAAACTTCAAACCTGCAGAACAAGTGGGTGCTAATTGTTGTGAGAGCCATTGGAGCTGCACTCTGCTTGTAAAGAAAGAAAGCCACAGGAAATGAAGCATTTACTAGCAGCACAGCTGATCCTAAGAGGCACCATTAAGTGCATCTCAGCAGCATTCTCCATGTGCAGGGCTGTGCTAGGCTCTTTTTTTTTTCCACAACACTGAGCTTTAAGTACATTTGAGAAGCAGGAGATTGCCAGGTTATTTTTCTTTCCTTGGGGAGGAGGAGGGGAACTAAAATAAAAGGCAGAGAAAATAGCAGATGAATATCTCATTAACACCACTCAATACTATAATTTTTACTAACCGATGTGAAGAGTGATAGAACCTAGCAAAAGCTGCTACCACCAAAGCTCCTTCACATAATGTCTGTCTTGAAATCTCATCACAATGTCATGAAATGTAGCATCACAGACTCCCCAGTCAAGGAGAGCTTTCTTCAGAGGGGGACAGGAAAACCAGGGGCTCAGGAAGGGCTGTCAGCTGGAAACAATGATCCAATACTATAAATTCACCTGTGGCTGAACTCCTGACCACTTTTGAATCACAAGCTGGTTTGCCACAGCCTGTGGTGGAGCAGGACCACAGTGCTGTACATGCAGTGGTGCAGGGTACACGGGATCCACAGTTCAGCTACGCGTACAGTGCTGTGCTGGTCAGGCAAACGAGACCTTCACGCCATCTGGAATTGGCACCATGCATTTCCGATAGGAGCAGACACCAGAATCCAGCAAGGACACGAACAGGTAACTGTGCTGAGCAGGGCCTGTGCTGAGCAAGATTAGTCCTTTCTGCAACCCCAAAGCAGCATCTCGGGAATGGAGGAGCACTCCTATTTTCACCAGGACTTTCCCAATTGCTTTAGCTCCATCAGACAAGGAAAGCATCTGCTACTTTCCAATTAGCATTTAGCTCAACTTGAGCATCTCCATATGAAGCTATTAATTCGTAAAACAAAGAAAGACTGCGAGAAGCAAACCACCATGGGCAAGTGATTTATACATTGTTCAGACTCAGTAATGTCTGTTCACTTGTAGTTTTGAGTGCTTTTATGACTTTGTGTACTGTTTTGGTTGAGTGACTCCTGCAGTTCCTGGTGGGGCATATTCAGAGGATGTATGTTAAGCCATGGTGCAGCTGCTCCTGACATTCTTTCTGTTAGAAATCTAATTTTTGTCTTAATTTTGGGAAACTTAAGAAGTTCCAGCTGTCTGCTTTCTTCACCCAAAATAGCCTCTGGGAGCTTGGGATTTTTGAGCTTGAAAAGCTAGGAAAGACAATCATCATCCACACCGTCCTGCTACATGGCCTGATTCCTGCCTCTGGTGCAGCAGTTGTACTTCAGTCATGGCAGATCTAGAAAAACACACAACCGCAGAGTAAAATTCTCACAGACTGCACTTGCGCAGCCTTGTCTACTAGAGCACCACTCAGACTAATCGAAAGCCCCCTTTCCTTGGCCATAGATAAGGCAGGTTGGTTGACTTACTCAACTCCCTTACTAGGAAGGTTATTGGGTTGGGTTTGGGTTTTTCCACCCTTAACTGGTTTTATTGCTGGTCTTGTTTCAACTTTTCATTCTTTTTCTTGAACTGTGCACAGCATTACAGGAGCAATCAGCATCAGTGTCCTTTATAGGATTGCGGCTTCCCAGAGTTAAATCATGGCTTGTAAGCTTTGGTCCTTGGCGCTCAGCTCACTCTGCTCTGCAGCACTAGTCACACTAGCAATGTCATTTAAAAAAAGCATAATGGTTTCTTGTATTTATGAAGCACAAAGTATGTCCTTTGTCTAGGATTTTAATAGCTATTTTCAACACTGGTAGCAAAGCCAAGATTTTCCTTGGAGTTTTAAGTTTAGATATCGCCTAGAATGAGGTGCAGCCTGAACTACAAACATGCTATATAGAAAGTATGCTCTTCAGTCAAGGAAGTAAAGAAGGCTTTTTCCCATTTAAATTTTGTTTCACTAATTAAGTTATCAAAGCCATACACAAGGAGGGGTGGTTAAACTTTCAGAAACTATTCAGTTTAGCTTCAGAGCTCAGTCTCTGCTTGCCCTCTCACTTCAATATTGAAAACTCCATGTAATTTGCCTGTCTCTGTATCCTTAAGGGCAGTCTGAGTAGCTCAGGTGGATTTACACAAACTTTGTTTGTAACAGATCAGTATCTTTTGCTGAACCACTTCCACAGTATATGAGTATACTTTCTACGTGAGACATTCAAAGTGGGTTAATGCACATAGCTACCTCAGTGGGTTTGTGGGGTTTTTTTATCCTCTGAAGTTATAAAGCTTGTTATATGTTACCACACAAAATTTGCAATAACTATCTGTTCAGCATTCAGAGTGTTGTATTACCAGTGCTTGCTCTGCCTCACAGAAACCTTGCCAAAATATAAAAATGTGGTTTAATTCAATGCTGTTTCAAAACAATTGCTAAAATTTGGTTGCAAGTTAGCTAATGGCCACTGCAGCCTTGAAAGCAGAAGAATACATGGCCACTTGCACTTTTTCTGACTGCGTATAAGTTAATGCCTGTGCATAGGTGGGTTTGGAAATCCATTAAGTAAATTACTCCTGTAGCTCAGTCTACTGGTAGCATAACAACTGCCAAAACCACAGAAACTAGGTTAAAATCTTTACTCATGAATGGTGCTCTGTAAATAGCAGGAGGTAAAAGGCAAATTGCTCTGGATTAAGATACTTCAGTTTTCACACAGGATTTCCCCGTCACCGTGGCATTGCTAGCTTTAGAGACTATTAGAGAGTGGTTTTCTCTCAAAGTACTGTATATCAGAATACTCTCTCCAAACTAAGAAAAACCCCACAACAAATTCTTTTTCAGTTTTTCCAGAAGTTGTATTAATGCAGGTTCAAAAGAAATATCTGGGTTCTGAGCTACCGACTGCTTTGATAGTGGAAATTGTCACTAAGCAGTCAAGAGTTGGTGGGTTTTAGTTTGAAAAGGTATTCAACACACGTGTGAAATTTTAAGACTGAAATGCAGGACAAGGGCAATCTTCCTCTCCTGGCAAGAGTGATTTGACAAAAGGCCAAGACCCCTTTATGCATTGATAACTTACATCAGTGTGACTCCAGTAGGACTCCTGTATCAAAAAGCAGGCAGTAAGAATTCGGCTCCATTTTCCAGTCAAGCTGACAAGAGTGGTCCCCCACAGGGAGTGAGTAAGCAGTAGTGGTTCATGAGCCATGGAGTCAAGAGAGACCCAGCCAGTCCAAGGTACACAGCTGCTTTCTGTTCAGTTTTTAAGAGAGAAGGAAATGGCAGCCAAAAATCTCATGACCATCGCATAACCAGTTCGAGCCATTAAGTATTTTGACACTGAGGAGTATAGTCAAAAGAATGTATTGCATAGTAAGAAAACACAATGGTTCCAACTAGCCAAACAGCCTGAGCTGGTTCCCAGTGGTGCCCAGGACTTCCCGAGTGCACAAGGACTGGTTTTGCCACCAGCATATTCCTGGGGTTTTTGGCGCTTTTGGGAAGCGTCAAGTACAACTGACAAAGCAGAACAGTGGTGCCATTTAATCCGTTTGAAGAAATACTAGTCAGATCCAGTCCTTGCCTCTTTTGAAGGCCACTCCTTACTCTCCCTTGAAAAGTTCCACATTGCCAGGGGTTTTGGAGCACCACAATGGTATTTCTTTGTTTCCTGCTGTATTATTGTGCCTACATGTACCGTAGGATAATTTAGAGGCAGAAGGACCAAGGCATGCCAGCCACAGGCTCATACCAAGTCCTTTTGCTACAAGAACCACCCCAGCAAGTACATCAAAGTTCAGAAGTAACGTTAAACATACTGGAAGTGGAAATGGCGAGACAGACGCTTAACCTAGCAAATTCATTTCTTAAAGAGCAAGACAAGCTGAGGATTAAAACTGGGAAATCATAAGAAGAAAAAAATGTAAATCCAAAAGCCAAAGGTGAACAAGAAATAAAAGCAGAGGCAGGACACACGTAAGAAGTAATGACAGCCAGGAGCTACTTTGACACAAAGTAAGAACTGACTGAATAAAATTACATCACTTGTGTGCTGCAGAGCTCCAAGACATTTTTGTCACCCAATTCCTGAATGAATTTTGGCTGAGGCAGGCAAACTTAAGATCTCTAATGAGTCCTTTCATTCCCAGCTTAATAATTGTAACTAGTTTACCATGCAACTGTCTTCCAGGTGTCCTGCCAACAGGATCCCACTCATTAACTACATAGACATAAAACTTAGTAAGAAAGGCATTTAGGAAGATCAGGGAGAAACTTTTTAAAGGAATTTATTTTTTTAATACAGATACAATATTTTTCCAAGGTCACTTTAGAGTAAGTGGCATACAGGCTATTAAAATGGAAGTGCCCATACAGTTGTTTCAGGTTAAATGTGCACAGTATATTCTACAACACAAAAACTGCATTTAGAGTTTTTTCTTGCTCCAGAATGATTTGGCAGCTTCAAAAAGCCAGCACACATTTCCATTCTCAAAATGAATTCATTGAACAACAAAACCCAAAGCTGAAATGCAATCCGCTCCAACCACCAACCAACATGCTTATCTCAGTAAGGATCTCTTAGCAGATTGGGCTGTAACAGTTGCAGAGCTGTCTTTATCATGACCCTCAAAGTACTGCTGCTCTATTCGCCGACAAAAGGCTGTGAGATTACTGTAGTTTTTCACTTTTTCGGAGAGTTCATCAGTGGTTAGTTGAGTAGTAAGGATTGTGAACAGATGTCCAAATACCAGAGCATCTAATTCAGTCGGTCTGTAAAAACAAACAGAAAAAAAGAACAGCTATTTTGGAAGGCAAGTCCTCATCAAGAAAAACCCTGCTGTTCTGAATAACTTTTAGATAGCCATGCAATCTAAGAATTGGGAAGAAATCAGGCAACACTAAACTTACCAAATGTATGAAAACTGCGTATACAGTATATAAGCATACTGCTAGTTCTCAGTATGGCATCTTTCTTCGCTTTTGGTAGCTTGGAAATGCGAAATAACACTTCTAAGAAGGGGCAGAGTTACTGATCCAATATCAAACCATGCTCCCCTTTTTAGTTCTGTAACAAGGGCAAATGCTTATCAGGTCTTTCGGGAGTTTTTCTTTTTCCTCTGCAGATGTATATTAAAAAAACCCAGCTATTATCTCACCAAGAAAAAAAAGAGGGTGGTGGAAAAAAGCAATAAAACCCCTATTCCCTTTTTGCATTTTCAATAGTCAGGAACTACTCAACCAATAAGAAAAGGAGCTCCAGGGTGACAGCAGCTGGGAACATCTTTTTTGAAAGGGGACTATACAGAGGAAAACAGGTATTTTAGGAAACAGTGGTCTATTGAATGTTTTCAGTCCTACCTTATTTTAGGTACAAGCCTTCCAAATTGTCATCTTGGATCTTTGTATATAAGTAGCCCATGTGCAAATTTTTTTTTTTTCCAATATATTAATAACTTAAGAGTCCTTCATTACTAATGTTCAAGGTAAGCAGCATGAGGGGTTTCTAACAATTTTTTTGCCTTTCTATTTGTGGATCACTAAGAACTCTCCAGTGGAAATGCAGACCCTTGTATAACAAACTTAAATCTGTCAGCAACAGGCTGCTTTTCTTATTTACCTCCTACAGACTCCCAGAAGTCACAGACTGAAAAATACCAGACTAAGAACACATACTCTCTTAGTAATATTTCAGCCTAAGCTAAAAAGCTTAAAGGTTGAAACTGTACCAAGAAAGCCTGGTTAACAAACAACAAAACCAAAATCCCCAAGCTACAATTCTTTACAGATACAGAAAGAAAATTTAGGAGATACCGTGTTTAAGAATGATTTGAGAAGATGCAATTCAAACTTGTCTTCTATAATGCGTATTTCTGCATCCACTCAATTTACGCTACCCACCTAGTCTGAACTTGGAAAAGATTAAGGGGCAAAGACACATGCAGAAAAGTAACCAAGACCGTACGCTGTCTTTTGAAGACATCCCTGTCCACATGTAGTTAACTGAAGTCCAGACCTGAGCATTTCTAGTCTGGTCTATGCACAGGAGACAAGAGGGAGCTAATGTGATGTTATTTAAATCCGTAACATTTCAAAAATATTAAATTATTGGAGAGAAAAAAAAAAGAAAAACAAAAGCATTTTGCAATTGGAAGAAACAGGTGAAAGCAGAGGACATCCCATGAAGGTCAGGTTGTTCCCTGTTTCTCCCCTGGGAATGTGAATCTTAAGTTTCCACTTTGCAACTGATCCTTTGTCGATACAAGGCTAGCTTCTCCCCCAGTTCTTCCAACGCACAGGCACCCTCAAGCTAATTCAGTTCATTCAGAGCTGCCCCTGGTGTTAAGAAGGGCAAGAGAAGCTGCCCTGGTCAGGACGGCATGATGTACATTCACTCCCCTGTACCTAGTAGAGAATGTTACCCAAGAAATACAAGTAAAGCTTTAAATGTATCATTTTTAATAAGAAACTAACTGTATAAAGGTGTACATTTCTAGCCTACATAAGTTGTGGTAGACTCTGTAGAGAAGACAAGCAGGATTAAAACTAAATCATGAATAGGAAAAAAAAACCAGAAACTTACAGAAACTTTCCTTTTAAAACCTTTAATTACTTATTTCTGAAACTTCATGTTTATATTCCAGTCACATATTTGTATTTCCTCAACTAATCATGTAGCATTAAAATAAAACAGGAGTTTTCCATACATATATCTATGTGGATGTATATCTACATCTCACATTCCTGGATGTAGTATTTCAGTAAAGAGTAACTTACTGCTTATTGAAGAAATATGGTTGTGTTCCTAATCTCTGGGAGAGAGCCTGACAACACTGATCTACGTCTTCAAGCACCTATCAAACCACACAAGAGAGAAAAGATCCGTATTGTCAGGAAATACCAACATTGCAAAAAATAACCTCATTACTGTATTTGCACTGACGGTGGGAACAAGGAACGTACAATGCTGGAACATCAAAAGCTGTTAAAGTCAGTCAAACCTACACAGCAGGCAGGTAGCTGAGTGTTACTTAATCTAACATTTGCTGTAAAGAGATTCTGATTAAGTGCTTCCCATAATATTTATAACAGCTTAATTAAAGGTACTAACTTATACCTCAAAATTGCTTCCCTCCCCCCCCCCCTTTTTTTTTTTTTTTTTTTTTTATTTAATCGAGGAAT